GCTCTCTTCGTTGGCAATCCAAACAGGAGGTTGGGATTGTTTTTATCATTAGGTTTATGGATGTCTTCCTGAGTGACAAAGCAGGGGAGCAGGACCCAACAGTGTCATTGCCTTGGCTCATTCATGCAAGGGTGGAGGTAAAGAGGATGGCTCGAGTGTTGAAGCTAAAGATACAGAACGCAATGTTGTACTGGGAAGGGAGAGGCGCTCGGATGAAGATAAAATTGATAGTCAAGGCTGATTCCTATCACCCACCTTGAGGACAAGGTGGTTGTTTAGGGGGGGAGTAATGATAGGAATCTAGCTTAGTAGGCTATTAATAGAAATAATAATAATAATAATAATAATAGTAAGTGTACATGTAATAGTATAAATAGAAGAGGAGGGGAGGACAATGAGGAGGCTGTCATTTGGTTGGACTTAGACTTTGGAGACTGGGCATCTCGAATCGTCCTAGGCTTGTATACGTTTGCTATTTTCTTCTTCTTCAATAAATCTCATTTTGATCTTGTTCTCTGTTAATCTCTCTTTGAATCTACTGTAATTGGAGTCTGTAATACCAGAATCTAACATTGATACACTTCAAGCCAGTTTTCCTGAAACTAGGCTTATTAACTCTCTTCCCATAAAAAATTTTGGTTGCACAGTTTTTATTACCAACCCTGACAGAACTGCAAGCAAATTTGATCCTAGAGGCAAAAAATGTGTTTTCTTAGGACTATCTTCAACACAGAAAGGCTATAAATGTTTTGACCCTACAACAAAAAAGATGTTTGTAACAATGAACACTGTTTTTGTTGAAAATCAACTTTTTTTTGGTACTCATCTTCAGGGGGAGATTCCTAATGAAGATGGTGATAATGTGTCACATATCCATGAAAAACTTGAATTTCTTGACATTAGTCTAGATGCACAATATAATAGACAGTTAGATGCACTAGAAAATAGTCAAGAATCAAAAGAAAATGAAATAAAATTTTCTGAGACAAGGAAAGATGATGAACAGCAGACAAGTAAATTTTTTGGCAAGGTTTATGAAAGGAGAGTTCCAAATCAAAGAATAGAGGACATCCTTGATCCTGCCACTGCTCATGAATCTGACTCAATGTCAGAAAATGACAAAGGTAATAATTCCAGTGATCTAAATCTACCCATTGCTCTCAGAAAAGAAAAAAGATCATGTGTTAAATACCCTATCTCAAACTATTTGTCCTATTCTCAGTTATCTGCATCATTTGCAGCATTTACCTCTAGTCTTTCCGCTGTTTCTATTCCCTTAACCATACAGGAAGCTCTATCTAAACCTGAGTGGAAGAAGGTTGTTTTAGAAGAAATGAATGCTCTTGAAAAGAATCAGACATGGCAGGTTGTGGAAATACCCAAGAACAAACCAAGAGTGGGATGCAAATGGGTATTTACCCCTAAATTCAAGGCAGATGGTACACTTGAAAGATATAAGGCCAGATTGGTTGCCAAAGGATATACACAAACCTATGGCATAGATTATACAGAAACTTTTGCTCCAGTTGCAAAATTAAATACTATAAGAATCCTTCTATCTCTAGCTGCTAACCTAGACTGGCCTCTTCAACAGTTAGATGTGAAGAATGCTTTCTTAAATGGGAAGCTTGAAGAGGAAGTATACATGAGCCCCCCTCCTGGGTTTGAGGAACAGTATGGCTCAAAGGTGTGCAAGCTGGAGAAAGCCTTATATGGACTTAAACAGTCCCCAAGGGCTTGGTTTGACAGGTTTACTCAATTCATAAAGGGATTCAAGCAAGCCCAAGCAGACCATACACTGTTCATGAAGTTCTCAAGTAAGGGAGAGATTGCAGTGTTAATTGTTTATGTGGATGATATCATTCTTACAGGAGACTATTATAAAGAGATTGAAGACCTGAAGAAGAAGATGGCTCAGGAATTTGAGATCAAAGACCTGGGAGAATTGAAGTACTTTCTTGGCATGGAGATAGCCAGATCAAAGAAGGGAATTGTGGTATCTCAGAGGAAGTATGTACTAGACCTACTCCATGAAACAGGTATGAGTAGGGCTGGCATTTTAGACCGAAAAATCGAAAACCGAACCGAAAAAAACCGAACCGCTTTGAAAAAAACCGAACCGAACCGATTGAAAATGGGACCCGAAAATTGGGACCCGATACAAAAACGGTTCGGACTCGGTTTATATTGTTAAAAAGTCGGTTCAAACCGAACCGAACCGACATTTTTAGTAGAGTTAATGAGAATTAGAAACGTTATATTGATATTCCGAGATCTAAAGTGACAAACCAAGCGTTCTGGTAAATTGATCGTTGATGCGATATCATATCGGAGAGGTTTAGGGATCGACTCCCGCAAGGGCTTATTTTTGTTTGGACCTTGAATTTTTTTTCCAATGTCTCTTTGTCCCACACCGGACAAGAGATGGTTTACTCTTCCAAAATTCTTTATATAAAGACATTTCAAGTTGGTTAAAGCTAATTGGTAAGCTCCCAACCCATGGGCTTGGGTGATCAAATTAATATAAAAATCATAAACTTGTTTTGGGCTTAGTATTGTTAAAACTAGTATAATATTTATATTATTTTTAAATATTTCGGTTTTTTATTGGTTTCCGATAAACCGACCCGAAAAATTGGGTCCCGACTAATCGGTACCCGGTTCATGATCGGTTCGGTTTCGGTTTTGATATTTAGTAAAACCGAAATGTCGGTTCGGTTTTCGGTTTGTTCAGATCGGTTCGGGACCCGAACCGAAACCAGCCCTAGGTATGAGTGTCTGCAGACCAATAGATACTCAAATTGATCCTAATCAAAAGTTAGGAGATGTCAAGGAAGGAGTACCAGTTAATGTTCAACAATATCAAAGATTGGTGGGAAGATTCATTTATCTGGCACATACAAGGCCAGATATTGCCTTTGCAGTTAGTATGGTTAGCCAATTCATGCATAATCCATTTCAGGAACATCTAGATGCTACCTACAGAATCCTAAGGTATTTGAAAAGCTGTCCAGGGAAAGGATTATTTTTCAAAAAGGGTGACAATAGAAGTGTGGAAGCTTTTACAGATGCAGATTATGCTGGCTCAATAACTGATAGAAGGTCTACATCTGGGTATTGTACCCAATACCCATGTATGGGGGAATCTAGTGACTTGGAGGAGTAAGAAGAAGAATGTGGTTGCCAGAAGTAGTGCAGAATCTGAATTCAGATCTATGGCTAATGGAATATGTGAACTGCTTTGGACCAAGAGAGTGATTTCAGAGTTGAATATGAAAATGGAACTACCTATGAAGTTATATTGTGATAATAAGGCAGCCATTAATATTGCTCACAACCCTGTGCTACATGATCGTACTAAACATATTGAAGTGGACATGCATTTTATCAAAGAGAAGATTGAAGCTGGAATTGTGTGTACACCATTCATATCTACCAAAGAACAAACAGCTGATATCTTTGCAAAGGGGTTGTTCAAACCAGTGTTTGAACTACTTATAAGCAAGTTGGGAATGTATTATATATACTTACCAACTTGAGGGGAAGTGTAGAAAAATGTAACATGTATTTGTTATTTTAATTATTTGTACATCCGGAACTGTATAGATAAGACTTAGAGTAGATAGAACTCTCTGACTAGTAGATAAGCTCGCAGAATAGATAGATCCTATATTTTAGGATCTGTAACAACTAGACTTTATCTGTAATTTGTATATATATCATTGCCGGATGGCTCAATAATATTCAAGGAAGATTAATTCTTCAAACCTACAAAAGACAAAAAAGATAAGATAAAGATAAAAATAGAGAAAAGTGTCAAATTGGCTCTCGTACTCTGTACGGAAAGTCAATTATGCCCTCGTACTTTAAGTTTCATCAATTAAGTCCTCCTACTTTTTTATTTTCATCAAAACCGGCTTTTAGTAGGTAACCCGCTCGGTCAGCAGGTTACCTGCTGACGTGGCACCTATGTGGCCTGAGACGATGCACACATGGCAGGCCACATCATTTTTTCTTTTCCTTTTCTTTTTTCTTTTCCTTTCCTTTCTTTTCCTCCCCTTTCTTTTCTCTCTCCCCGTTTCCCCTTTCCCAGCGACCCAGTCTTCTTCCTCAACCTCCAGCCCCCTATCTCCCCTGCAAAAAAAAACTCCAGCCCCCTCATCTCCCTTCCTCCAAAAAAACCTCAAGCTTCGTCTTTCATTATTTCTTTCTTTCTCCCGTTTTTCTTCGCCAACGACCGGTAGGGACAACACACACTATTCATTCAAAAATCGATTATTACTCATAACTCACATGTGGGTGATTTTTATTTATTTTTGAGACTAAATTGGAGTTCGTTGGCTAGGAACGATGCTCCATATCAATTTTGAGCAGCTGGGGACGAGATTTGGTGGCTGATCGGAAGTTCCTTTTTTTGGACTCCTCCGGCATTTTTTCTGGCGACATCGGGGCTCGGCACAAAAATTAAAATATGCAAAGGAGGTCGCCATGAACAGGCGCACCTCCTCATAATTTTTTGAGCACCCTCCATTTTTCGGTTACTGTTCATGCCGGTGGGTCTAGAGAAGAAGAAGGTTGGCAGGGAAGGGAAAGAAAGAAAAGAGAAAAGAAAGAAGAAAAGGAAAACAAATTGAAGTGGCCCGCCACGTGTGCGCCATGTCAGGCCACGTGTGCGCCACATCAGCAGGTAACCTGTTGACCGGGTGCGTTACCTGCTAAAATTCAGTTTTGACGAAAATTTCAAAGTAGGAGGACTTAATTGATGAAATTTAAAGTACGGGGCATAATTGACTTTCCATACAGAGTACGAGGGCCAATTTGACACTTGTATCTAAAAAATAAGATAAAAAGGATAAGATAAAAAGGATAAAAAGATTTAAAAACATAAGAAAGATACAAAAGATCAAAAGATTAAATGAGATTAATCCTCGACCAGAAAAAGCACTTACAATCCTAGAGCAGGCAAATTCTAGCGCTTCTAATGAAGTAAGAGTTCATACCCATATCAACCAAGGGAAAGTATTCATTCCCATCTTCCCAAATTTCCATTACATAGAGGTGGCGTATGCTGGAGTCGTAATAGGAAACCCCAATTCTGCATGTAAATTACATTAAATAAGAATTCTTGGTCAGACAATAAAAACCTCTCACAAAACAATCATATGACTAAATTGGAAATGGAGGAGATACAATTTCTTATACTATGCTTCCCTTGAGAAGTATAATAGTTTATAATAGTTTATATTATATGGCTACCTTATCCTTTACAATTTACTAGCAGAATGATATACTCACCTATGACCATTCATCACACATGCCATATAGACCTGCATAACAAGCCACTGGGAAATATTGGTATTGTGGCCAACGTATATTAAGGAAATTCGGGACATATATTTTTCTTAAGAAATACTCCTTAAGAAACTAAAAATTCTTCGAATCTTCTTTAGTTTCATTACACTATTTGTTAATCATCATCATGTATTCATATAGTCCGATAAGCCTGCATAGAGAAAAGCATATTGATATACAACTGAATATGCATACGTATTGTTTTCTGAGTATACGCACCTCAGACTTGTCTTGATTCTCTGAGAGTTCCTCAGATGGCTCACAAAAATCTTCTGCTATCATGAAATTCAATTTTGAGAAAGTAGCAGCATTATATGGGGATACAGTGCGTCATTTTCGAGGACGAATAAAAAGTACAATATCTTTCTGCCATTAAGTGCATTGAGATTGTACCTTGAGCGGTGGAATCAGCCGCGCTCTCCTTGGCACAATGGAAGGAATTCCGAGCTCCGTGGACTGAAGACGCCTCCATGAAAGAGCTCAGATAATGAGAACAAGACTCCAATTATCACCAATTGTTCATTCACATTAAAAAAGAATAGTCATAGGGCCAACTACTTATTTCAGATTCGCCTCTTCTCGGCCCACCCCATTTCCTTAATGAATGGACAAGTATGTCCTAGGAAGTATTTTACTACTGTGTACGTGTATTTTACTACCATGTACCAGAAGTTAGAGCGTTTGTGTGAAAGTACAAAATTGATTCTGATGCTCTAATTTACTCCTAAAATCAATTTTTTTAGAAGCTGGCGGTTACCAGCTTCTGAAAACTGATTCTGCTTCTGCTTTAAAAAAGAAGCAGAAGCGGAATCAGTTCCAAACACCCTCTTATTAGCTAGTCAGAATAGGAGAGTATATCCATTTCCTTACCATTATTAGTTACTCAACGTGTGTATTAATTTGTCATGCCACGTTATTCATTTTTTAATAAAGAGAAAAGTGTCAAATCGGCCCATATACTTTGTACGGATAGTCAATTCTACCCTCCTAGTTAAACTTTCTTCAATTAAGCCCTCAAAGTATGTTATCTTCTTCAAATCCTCTTTCTAACAGGTTAAGTCCCGGTTTCCCTTTAGCATGCTGACCTGGCGTACTACGTGGAATTCATATAAGGCAGTGTGTGCAATTGTCATGGAAATGATTTGTCCATTTCAATTACCCCTCCCTCTTAGTGGATTCATTTCCCATTTTCTCAAACATATACGTCTATGAACAAGCGTAGTGGTTCTAAGGACGGAATGAAGTTGTTTGTGAACTGAATCGAAGTTGAACGTTGTTGAGTAGCTGAAGTTGGGTACCGCAGTGCAAGTAAGTGTGTTAATTTGAAATGCGTCTTGGTATCGATTAATTTGAAATAGGGTTGATGGTCTGTCGATTAAAGATGTTGAATTGTTTCATTCATGTGTGTTGTCTTGTTTATTTTTTCATGTACGTTATTGGTGTGTGGAATAAAAAAAGGCTCGAAATTACATGGTGTATATGATGAGTTTGTGTGAAGTCTTTAGTATGCTCGCAAACCCTTATGAGTGGTCGCCAATGCAAATATTTGAAATATTTACACAACAACCTGAATGTTTGTTTTCCCTGTAGTTAGTGTATTATTGTGTGTGTTATTGTTGATGTTTGTCGATTGTGTTATGAACTAAAGCTTCATATTATTTTGTGTACAGCATGTTTGACATTGTTGAACTGATAGTTCATCATGGAGGGAGCTTTGTTAGGGATCCTGCAACTACTTACATTGGTGGTGAAGTGGACAGACTTCGGATAGATCCTGATTACATTTCCTATACACATCCACTGAAATCATTAAAGGAAGGCAAATATGGAAATATTCATGGACTGTACTATAAAACATCAGGGGAGTCAATGGAGCAATTATTGGAGTTATTCAATGATGAGTCCACCTTGAAACCGATTGTTGTGGCTAGAAGCTGTGGAAGTTGTGAGATTTATGTGCATCATGGATTAGATGAGGTCAAATTGGTTGATATCCTTCCATTACCTTCTCCAAATGTGGTGGTAGAAGAACAAATACATGGTGAGGTATTACAACAAGATGAAGCATTACAAGCTGATGGTCAAGGTGAAAAAGAAGCTGATGAAAACATGGATGCTGAAGGAGGTTCTGAAGATCAAAATGATAGGTGTGTTGAAGTTTGCTCAGAACAAGAAGACATGGACACAGAAGGTCATGCAGCCATGGGAGAAAGTGACACACATGGTGATGCTGAGAACTCACAAGCTCAAAGTGAGCATGATTCACAGCACTTTAGAGACGAAGAAATTGCTGCTGAGAAGTCACGTCGTAGAAAGAGGCATTTCAATTCTTATCATCCTGATGCCGAGCCTCCAAATATTGAGTTGTCAATGCTCTTTGAAGATGGTATTCAATTCAAGAACGTTGTGATACGATATGTTGTTCATGAAAAAAGAGATGTCAGATTTATGAAGAATGAGCCTTTGAGAGTCCGGGTTAAATGTGCTCCATCGTGTCCTTACTCTTGCACAGCTAGTTGGGAGCCAAGGCTCATGTGCATGCAAGTCAAGGTTCTCATTTCAGATCACTTGTGCAATCTGAAGTACAAGTTGAGAGTAGTCAATCAAAATTGGACTGCTAACAGATAAGAGAATAAGGTATTTGAAGATCCTACCATTGGTGCAAATGAATTGAAGGCACTGATTAAAGCTGACCTCAAAATTAATGTGTCCTACAGCATGGCTACTAGGCCATTGAGGATTATTCATAAGAAAACCCAGACAAATTACCATGATCAGTTCAAAAAGCTTAGTTAGGAATTATGCCCAGGAATGCATAAACTCAATCCCATATACCACATGTGTCATTCACACCATTAGAGTTGTGCCAAAAGCTCCACGTGTCTTTTAACGCTTTTATATTTGTTATGGGCCGGTTAAAAAGGGTTTTCTGGAAGGATGTAGGAAAATATTTGGGTTAGATAGATGTTTTCTGAAAGGGCAGCTTAAGGGGGAGATATTGACAGCTGTGGGTAGGGATGCAAATAATCAGATGTACCCCCCATAGCTTGGGCTATTGTTGAGATTGAGAACAACTATTCATGGTCATGGTTCTTAACCCTACTGAAAAATGACCTCCAAATTACAAATGCGGCAGATTGGGCTATAATAAGTGACCAACAAAAGGTGAGTTTGGATGCTATAAATTATCATATTTTTCAGTTCTGATTTAAATGACTTTTTTTATTACAGGGTCTTGCAAATGTCATTGTTACTGACTTACCTGATGCTGAGCACAGAAATTGTGCCAGGCACATTCACACCAACTAGAGCAAAACTCATCGAGGGTTGCAAATGAAGAACTTATTCTGGAAATTTGCCAAATCAACCTCTCTGCCACGGTTGGAGTCTTCACTGGTTGAGTTGGATAAAGCTGATGCAGAAGCTGGAAGGGACATGCGCAACTATGAAACGAGCTTATGGTGCAAGGCATATTTCAGAACACGAGTGAAGTGTGACAGTCCAGACAACAATTCAAGCGAGGCCTTCAACAGTACCCTTGTCAAATGCAGATCTAAACCTCTTATTCCCATGCTCGAGGACATAAGAGTGGGTATGATGAAGAGGATTGATAGGAAAAGGGAGATTGTGAAGGAATGCAATCTCGAATTTTCACAATTGTGGGAAAATGAAGAGGATTGCTAGGAAAAGGGAGATTGTGAGGAATAACTTTGGCGGAATGGAGGTGTGAATTGTGAAAGAGGAGAATTTTAATCAAGGAATGCAAGAGGAAGATTTGGTCTAATAAAAGTTACATTAAGTAATATCACGGGTGCGCAAAGCAACTCCCTTTCAGATTTGTTGCGAAACGAATTTGTTGTGAAACGAGAACATAAAAATTTCTTATGGAATTCTATGAATGAACTTATGAGGCTTCATCAAACTTTTATACTGGTTGAGTTTGATAATTAGTCATTGATGGATAGTCTACCCGGGGGTATATATCCGAAGGGTTACTGCGGGAAGTAACTAGAGAGAAGTCAAAGCAAAAGTAAGAGAGAGAGGGAGTGTATTGCTGAGAATGTAATGAGCGATTTTAGCTTGGATTACAAATGGGGAAAAGGGGCGCTAATTATAGTAGTAATAAATGCCAGATAGGGACACATGTCATCATTCTGGTAGTCGAGGGGTCACCTCAACGGGGTGGCACTGACATTCGCATGTGGCCGCATTAAATGCGGCTGTTGGATGTGACGTCGTACTTGGTACGGTGATTCAGGCGCATGTGGAGAGTATATTATGTCGAGAAAGGTGCCCTCGGTTGCAGATGATTAGCCGAGGGCTCTAAGTACCGAGAACCTCCTTAGTGCCGAGGGCTCTAGGTGCCGAGGGCTCTAGGTGCCGAGGGCTACTGATTTTTGTCGTTTTCTCCCAGTGACTTTGTTTGCTTGAGTTGGCCATCTTGTGAGAATTTGGAGCCTTCGGCCAGGGGGCCGAAGGCACCCCCAGTGTGCCACGTGGGTTGCTCAGTACTTGGGGCGCTGTGATTTGGGCTTGTTGTGCTTCCTGGGCCTATTGGGCCTCCCTTAGAATAGTAGGAGTCTATGGGTCGGGGGTTCTTGGGACATATACTCCATCAAGAGTCCCTCACTCCTTTTGCTAACAAGTACTTGAGGGAAAAGGAGTAATTTGTGTTTGTCCTTTAGTGTTGTTCCATTGTAGTTTGTAAGGTTGGTAAGGAGTTCGCTGTGTGCACGTTTCAGCCGAGGGTAGTCCCTCGGTTACCCACATTCCGGGACTTGAGGGATCATGTTTGTCGTTTGTGGGAGTTTTTGACATTTTTTGTCTTTTTGGGATTTTTCCCGAAGGGGTCCTCCAGTCCCCCACTCCTTGAGGCACTTGCAAAGTGGTGAAAAGGAGTAGAGTTGTGCCTGTCTGCAATATGAAGCCGAGGGGTGACGCTTTTCGCTTCATTTTGGGGGGATGCCTCGTTAAAAAACTCATTGGAAAAAACCCTGTGGGAAAAAATTCCAATGAGGGAAAAAGAGTGCACCGAATTCCCCCAATGATGAGTCGAAAAGGTGAAATCCCAGTTTGAAATGAGTGGCAGTATTTTTGCCGAAGGCTATCACTGTCTGAAGGCGCGTGTGTTGATTTGCCGAAGGTTCACTGTTGTTATCCTGAGAGATGTCGAAGGGGGAGCCCTCAAATTATGAGGATGATATTTCCGGTGTTGTTGAGGGGTCCCTTGTTTGTTTACAAGTGGGGGGCTGCGGTGCCCCGAGAGGCTTCCATAATAAGGTGTGCCTCCCGGGGGCCACGTGGTCCTCAATGTTTTTGAGGGTTGAGTGTCCCCGAGGGGTGTGCCCGTTGTGAAGCCGTGGGCTTCTGAAGAAGTGAGCCCGAAGGCACTTGTGATGTATTATGAGGGGCCTTGGCCGGGAGCACTTCTGGGTAAGTGTACCCGGGGGCTCCTCTTAATTCCATGTGCGATCATTGTTGTTAGCGAAGCTCTGGCCATTTGATTTCTAGAGAGAGAAACACCTGCCCTCGATCCCATTCTTGTTCCAAGGTCAGTTCCCCGCTCGTTCTTCACCTTCTTAATTAGATGTGCTTTGTGGCCTTAGATTAGGGGTTGTAGCTTAGAGCCTTTAGTATCTCCCTCCGAACCCTCGGTTTAGTATAAACAATGTCTTCACAAAGCGATTCCCAAAACATCTCGAGGGAGCCCTCGATGGAGGAGGAGAGCTTCTCAGACGTGGAGTCCACGAGCGAGCAACCCTCGACCGAGGAGGATGCCGCAATGGCCATAGAGGTACAGAAGGACCTTGTGGCTGAAGTCGAAGCTGAGGACTTCGAGCAGGTGATCGAAGACGAGGAGATGGCCCTCGCCGTTCAAGTTGCAGAGGAGGAGGAGCACAAGGAGAGTATGAAGGTCACCATCGCCGTGCCCCCCCCCCCCCTCGTGGTGCTGGTGAAGCAGGGAGCTCTCGACCTCTTAACCCGACACCTCTAAGGGTGGCCCCCGGGAACAAGCAGGAGAAGACAAAGGCTGCTCCCAAGAAGAAGGGCAGGATTGCTGATCAAGGAAGACCCATTGATATGCCTGAGGGGTACTCTTGGTTGAATACCGCTGCCCTCGAGATAGGATCGAAAGCTGACTGGGAGGATCTTTTCGTCACTCAGTTGCATGTGGGGCCTTCGGCCGTAGTGGTGGCGCCGGGTCCTGATGATGTGCTCTCCCGGACTCCCGAGGGTTGCATCGCCGTCCACATTTTGTCCGTATCAATGGGACTCCGGTTCCCCTTGCACCCATTCCTTCGGGAATATCTTAGGTACGTGGGTCTGATCCCTTTCCAATTGACGCCCAATAGCCACTCATATGTGGCAGGCTTCCTGAACCTTTGCCGGTCCCGAGGGGTGACTCCCAGCCTGGATTTGTTCTTCCAGAGTTTCAACCTCTGCCGGGGGGGTCACACGAATGCCGAGGGCTTCGCGAACCTGCAGCAGATAGCCAGGTGGAAGCTGTTTACCGAGGCGCCTTCATCAAATAAAGGCTGGAAGGAGCGATGGTGTTACGTCAGAGTGGACGAGAGCCCCTTCCCGAGGGATCTACAGGATCGTTTCCAACGGCATCCGAAGGTCGGAAATGCTGCTCTCGAGAAGGATGGTTTGATCATAGCCAAGATTTCGGAGGGTCGCACGAAGAATGTGTCTATCAAAGACTACACCCTCGATAAGGATCTTTACGCCCTCGGATTCCGGAGATATCGCATCCTTGGTGAGATGGACGAGAGGTACCCCGAGTTGGACAAAGCCTTTGAGGGAGCAGGAGGTAGTAGCCGAGGGCTTCCCAATTTGTACTTAGGATTTTTTCCTTATTTTTTTTGTTTGTTCACGCTTTTTACCCCTCGGTCTAACTGTTTTTTGTCGTTTGCAGGCGCAAACATGGACGCAGGGAAACTCTTTGCTTTGAAGAAGAAAAAGGGCAAGGCCCAAGCTCAGAAGAAGGACCCTTCGGCCCAGCAGCCCGTTGAGGCCTTTTTCCAGAAGGAGACACTGGAGCCCTCCGCTGCGGCTACCGTTGCTGGCGTGGCCGAGGGGGCCACAAAAAGAAGAAAGGCAGTAAGGGGGTAGAGCCCCCTGCCAAGAAGTAGAGGGGTCCCAGGGATGTTGCTGACCAGGCGCCCCCTTGGTGATCATAGAGGATTGCCCCTCTACCGAGCCCCCGGTTGGCACTGCGGCGACAGCTCGGACGGACCTTCCCCTGGGAGGCTTCCCCCGGGAG